ACTTCACAGAAACAATCTGAATTTTAATAAAACTTAAGGTAACTTCAGTAGATTTAAGGTTAATTCAAAACAATCTTCCTTACTGCCGAAAAGGGATGGATGGAGAGACCTGGACATCACACCAACAAAAGAAACTGCGTGTACCGCATAGAAGTTATTAAATATCGCTGAAAATGTCCAAGAATTATGGCCTAAGTAAGGTAGTAAGGTAAAAGGCAGTACAGGCCTTAAAGGCCCTGTGAGGGAATGGAGGAGGATAGTAACCAGGGCCAGGAACAGCGGTCCATTCAGTGAAGGGTATCGACCGGTAAGCGTCGCACCAACCCTACGTGCAATAGGAATAAGCAGAGGTAAGGCGGTGGCCGTCCAGAACCCTAAGTGAACCGTATGTCCTGTGCAAATTCATACTGCATCCTTAGACCTCGGATTTTCCGATACGACAAAAAACGTACTGGTATCGTATGAAGAGCTTGAATGATGTCATTTGTGGATCTCGTCATGATACAATCCCAGACATGATCGGCTACGGCTTGAGTGCAACCAAGATATCGGCCCAGTTTTATGGTATTATTGAATGCAAGAGCTGGCTTTCCTATTGTTGAATGATATGAAACTTCGGCACCGGACATTGCTGCAGCTGCATGAAACAAATCTGTAACCACAGTAATAAAATCCTAAAAAATTTTGGATGATAGGAATATTAATTATGATACACATAAAAACGCAAAAAAAGTTTATAAGGCCATGAGCGCTACCCTCAGATACGAGAAGGATAAATTTAAATTTTTTGGATCGCATGTGGGCAGCGGACATACCTATAAAATTTTAGCTTCCTAGCTTCCGTGGTTCCCGAGATAGTAATTTCCCCTGCCAAAACTTTTACGGGGCCGTACGTGTGACCCGCGGGTACGTGGCGGGATCACACGTGAGTGGAGGAAATTCCACTAAATTCTCAGCTTTCTTGCTTTTGTGGTTCCCGAGTTGAAAGTTACGGGCAAGTTGCTGCGGGCGTACACACAAATACACACACACACATATATATAAACACACACACATATAAACACACACACACACGCACATACACACATAGGTAATCTCGTGACAATATGCATTTTGTGCAGCTGCTGCACAGCAAAAAGACGATTGTTGAATGATGGGGAAACTAGTTACTTTTCGAAAACGGCGATAACATGTGCAGGCCGACACTCACTGCTCCAGCATCATGACCAACAAGCGTTACTTGCCTTGGATTACCACCGAACGATGCGATATGGTCCTGCACAAATTGCAACGCCGTTCTTTGATCCTGGAAAAACACTTAAATTCAGGACTACTCCATTTACCAATGGCTGACATCATCTTAAGGAACGACAACTAAGCTCCTTCATCTCACTTGTATGTTCCTAAAAATCTCAATTAAAGTGTTTTGGAAATTTTTTTTTTGAAAAAGTGTAAACTATGAAAGTTTGTTTGGCACTGTAGGCCCAACCGATGC